GAGGGAATTCAGAGAACAGAAATAAGGGTGAAGTCGAGTTGGCGAGCTGAGGAGACCAGCTGGACTGGGGAATGGGTAGTGATGAGTCTTGAAGCATGTTGAAGACTACTGTGAAGCAGAAAGAAAAAAATATGTCCACCGTGGAAAGGACAAGTCAGGGGCTTAAAGACCAGAAAAAGAGAGAGAAATTCATTCTAGGCTTTAAGAAAGATTTCCCAGTGGTGAAGATAGTGATGCACTGATGAAAACAAAACTGCAGTGCCCTGGGAGGTGGACTCTCCATTAGGGCAGAAGAGCAAGCTGGACAAAAGTCCAGTAGGCTTAGTGACCTTGCAATGGGCAAGGGTGCTAGATTGGACCAGATTTCCTTAACATCTATTCTGTAAGACTTCTGAAGGTGGTCCATTAAGTGACTGCAGAAACACTTTCGAAATCAAACACACACAGTCTCTCCCACATACCCACATCCCTATTCCTGAGAGCAAGCAAATAGATTAGAATAGAATAAAAGCTATATGTCTGTGGACAAAGTTTAGCCCCAAACTTATTCCCTTGTAAAGCAAATTCCCTGAGATGATGAAGCACAATGTGGTCTGAGGTTTTTCTTTTGCAAAAAGCCAAGGTTGCTTAAGATTTGTTCAAAACCCAAGCTACCTTTTTTTTTTTTAAGAGGGTGGTCAAGAAATATGGGATTGGAGATGCTCATGGGGCCTTTTCTAAACTCTTTTCTTATTTATTTTGTTTTGTTTTGTTTTTTCTTTTTAATTTATAAAATAATAATACTGCAGCAGCATATACTGTTGTTGTACTGCTTCTGTTTAAAACCCTGCATTGATGGATAACCTGCCTGGTTTGCTGCTGCAGATTTTTTCAGATAAATCAGCATGTGTACCCGACTTACCCAGCCCCTGCAGGAGTGATGCTGGCTGCTCCTGCTTCCATCAGTTATCCTGCCTGCCCCTCTGAGCTGGCAGGTTTTAGTGGTGGAAGCATTTATAATTCTGCCTAGTGGAATCCCTAGTGTGTCTATCCCATGGCTAGAGAGAAATGAGTCCACACACACACGCACACACAAACATGAGTGCGGCTGACTAGCTCTTTTCCTGAATAGCTTTCTAATTTACAGTTTGTTTGACTGGGAAGATAGTGCTGCCAATCCCCTAATATGCTTATAACCTCTGCAGCAGCCTGAGCTCTCTGTCATCCTTTGGCCATGCAGCCTTCCAAATGCAATTCCTTGAGCCTGGCATCATGACCGAATGAGGTCTGAGTCTTCTTCCATGGTCTGCACAACTGTGCAACAGGGTGCCTGGCTGCCTCTGTTGCATGAGGAGCTGTGAGCCAGGGGAGGGATGTCCTGTACCATGGTCGCGCTTTGCATCCTCCAAGGCAACAGCAGAAAGAGTGCAGCCAGGTAGAAATCAGGTGGGAGACTCATTCTGGTCTTCAGGCTGATGATAGGCCACTCTGACCTAATTTAAATTTATTTTGTCTAAGTTTACTTCTGCTGCAAAGCCAGGGTTTGCCACTGAAAACCCCCTGAGCAAAGAGGGATGGCATTGCATAGTGAATGGGCTGGATGTGTACTCACACCTTGCACCATCCTGAAAACGGTGAAATTATGCAAATGCTCTTGTATTCCCTTCTACTATGAACTCATTCGATGGCATAGGGCCACTGGGAAAGCCCATTCCTGAGGCAGGATCCAGACCTGATATTTTCAAGTGGAAAGCTGCTTTGTGCATCCTACCCTCAGCTACTGTACGTACTCTGCTGAAGATCTATTCCCACCCTGTGAACAAGGCTTTGGACATCTTAAACTGCGCACCTGTAGGTCATATGTTTTAAGAAGGAAGATCAGGAGAACCCGTGTTGCATCTGTGTAATTACCATATGGTGGTAGGCTCTGCTGGCCCCCCTAGCAAGTTTCGGTGCCGGGAGATATGTAGGTAGATTTATTCCTCTGCATCTCAGCTAGTGGAGCACTGTGCTGCCACATCCAAACCTGTCCTTATACCCAAACCGCCTTGCTCAGAGATGACCCAGGCTCTGGGCAGGGGAGGGAGTAGGACTATCAGATGTTGGACAATGGCATTAGGGTCTTTGTGCAGGCAGGTCTCCGAAGCCGTGCACCTGGAATAGGAGAAGGTGCAGAGGAGGTTAGTCCTGGCAGATTTTTGCTTTGTTTTGTGGACAGGGGCCCTCATGTCCTCCTTGAGGCAGCACTCTGTGTCTCTATGCAGCACTCTTCCCTTTGTGTCTGTGCATCTCCTGCATGCTCTAGATGCATCCAGCTGCAGCCAGGATGCTCCAAGCCCCCTTTACCAAGCCTGATGGAAGAGCAGAGATAGGAGCTCTGGTTGTCTGGTGACTGGGAAAGCAGCTAACCTAGCAGGGTCTGTTCCCTGCATGGAGCTGTGAATCTACAATGGCAAGGGGATCCAGTGCTCAAAGGACAACTGCAATTACTGAAGCCATAGATCTTGGGAAGGGGACACTCCTTCCTCTGGATGGTAGGGATGGACTATGGGAACAGGCCAGGTCCACTGCAACTGGGCTGGAAGAGTGGATGAGAAGCTGTAAACTGCTCTTTCCAAACTTGGGGTCACACTGTCACATGCTTGTGGAGCTGGGAACACAGACTGGGTGGTGATCTTGGCAGAGATGCAACTGCAGAGGTAGAACCTGTCACCAGGAGCGGGTCGGACTCCTGGGGGAGCTGATGAAGGTGATTGCTGCTCTCAGCAGCACTGTCGTTCATTGAAGGGGATGGTAGGAGCTGCAGCCAGCCTAGCTGGCTGGCCGCAGGGAAGGAAAAGGTTGGGCGATATCTACAGTGGGAGATGTGTACTGGGAGCAACGCATGCTACATGGACACCATCAGGCAAGGACAGTGGAGGAAGACCCTTTAATTGGAGGATAAATCTGTCATCTGACAGGCATCAAGCAATGCACCTACCACTGGAACTTTGCAACCTCAACTTGGACCAGGACTAAGAGACTTGGGTTGGAAGATTCTGGCCTCCAAGTCAGGTGGGAGGATCTGTGTGTTATTTTAATTGCTAGGCACTGAGTGGATTGTACTAATGCTGAGGCGAGGTGTGATGTAACCTATGGGCATATGTAAGCCAGAAGGCACCCAAAGGCAGCAGGCTAGAGTAGGTCAGGAGACACTTAAAGAATTGAGTTTACGCCCACCAGCTCCAGGTCCGGCTGGTCACCACAGGTCTTTGTAACACTCTCTTTTCCTGTCTAGGTCTGTGCAGGATACGTGCAGGATGCCAAATTTCCCTCTGAGCCTCAAAAAAAAGCCTCTCAAGCCCTTCCCTCTGCAGAGCTGGAAGTGTTCTCACCAGGGAAGTATTCTACAGAAGGCTTCTAAAACTTCACTAAAAAGACTACCTGGGCAGAAATACCTTCGGGTTTTCGTTGGCCAGCAGCTCTCCCAACCTGCCAGGATCCAAAGCATGGCTGGTTGCCCACGGTGGATTTCTATGTATGTAGTCCATCACATCGCTAAGTAGAGAGAGACAGGCAAAAGCCTGCTGAAGTGATAATTATTACCCAAGGGAAGAGGGTAATTCAGTAGCCCTCGTATGCTGTGGAAAGGGCATTTCCATGGAAGGTGAGTCATGTTATTACACTGATTCCACCGGTGTTTCCCTGTCCCTGGTATGAATTATGCCCCTTTGAGGCTTGTCCTTGGCTGTTGAACCTTCAAGGCTTGTGGGTTAAACTTCTGTTCAGCCCTGTGGGGATTAATGGGTCTCCAGCAGACCTTTCAGACTCCCCTGCTGGATCTGAATTTGCCTCTTACAGTTACCATTTCCAGGTGAAATGCAAAAATACCAAAGGAGGTTTTCCATGCCCTGTTTTCTGTGGGTGAAGGCCTAAGGACAACTAGACTGGTAAGTCAGCAGGCGATTTTAGGAGATGAGTTTTCATCATAGTTAAAAATCTCTTTGCAGTTCCACTAAGTATCCCATTGGAAACCATTCCCGCCCTCCCTAACACAAACCCCCCCACGTAAATGTCATGTGCAGGGGAAGGAGTAATGCATTATGCTCACAGCAGCGCAGCATGTGCATGCAGAATTACATGACCTCAAAAGAAGAGAGCGGTTTGCTAAAGTGCCATGATCAAGGGACTAGGATCTCAGAGGAGTTCAAGGGCAAGTAAACACGTAAGGAATGCTGGCACTTGCCAAAATCTCATGCCTAAATGTTTAGGGTAGAGACAAAACAACATAGAAAGTAAAGGAGTTCTATTAAAATATTTGACAATAATTTTGTAGAATAACATTCCAGAGATGATGCCGTTTGGATGTTTCTGATAAGAAAGGAACAAAACCTTATGCAGCACTGCAGGGTTTCAGTGTGACTTATCGACCTTGTTTTCAAATGAGTTGTGCTCCTGTTATTGCTACGAATGTGTAAATAGAGTTGCAAGTCAGGATGGGGAGGAAAAAGAAAAACTGTTTAGGACCAACATCAGGATGAGTGTGTGTGCACGTGTACGCACACAATACACACATACACAAACACACACCCCTCACAGCCAGACACCAAGCTCAGGCAGTTACTTTAAACTAGTAAGTGAATATATGGAGAGCTACAGGGTAGGTGGAAAAGGTATGGGTGGAAGGATGAATCCCATGAGCAGACTTTAATTTCCAAGGTTGTAACAGTCTTTTATGAAGAGCTATGATGAAGAGGAGAGTCATGAGGTGACAAATCTGTGGAAGACCAAAGATGTGGATAGAGTTAGCCACAATTTATCTTTTCATTCCAAACAGGAATGTTGAACTCACTTTCTAAAAATAACTAGTTGCACCAGCGAAACTCCTTGTGGTGACTCCGGCTTTCAGGGTTTAGCCAATTCAGTATAAAGAGCACCCTGCTTTTCCAGGAGACAGCTTTTTTAGAGGGTCTTTCTACCATAAATCCTCTATTGTTCTCCGGTCTGAACCCTTCCTGTCTGGCATTAGCAACAGGCTGAGGTCAAGACACAGGCTGGATCCCTTTCCCCCAGACCAGGGTGAGCACCCGCTCCCGGATCGGCTTGGTCCTTATGCCATAGATAAGCGGGTTGAGCATGGGAGGCACCAGTAGGTAGAGGTCTGCCGTAAGGATATGGAGATAAGTGGGGATGCTCTGGCCCCAGCGCTGTGTGTAGAAGGAGAAGAGTCCTGGTGTGTAGAAGAGCAAGATGACACAGATGTGGGAGCCACAGGTACCAAAGGATTTCAGGCGAGCCTCTTTGGAGGGGAGGCCCATGACTGCCCTCAGGATCAGCATGTAGGAGATGGTGATGAGTATGGAGTCTAAGCCCACCATGATGGTGGCAGCTGTGATCCCATAGATGTTATTGGCCCAAGTGTTCCCACAGGCCAGTTTCACCACTGACATGTGCTCGCAGTAGGAGTGGGCAATGACACGGGGGCCACAGTAGGACAGGCTGCTCACCATACATGTCAGAGGGGTCATGAGGCTAAGGCCACGCACCACAGCAGCCGAGACCAGCTTGGTGATAGTGGGGCAGCTCAGGATGGCAGAGTAGTGCAAGGGCTTGCAGATGGCCAAGTAACGGTCAAAAGCCATGGCAAGCAGTATCCCTGACTCCACTGCAGAGAAGCCATGGATGAAGAACATCTGGACCACACAGCCCTCAAAGACAATCTCATGGGATTGAAACCAGAAGATGCTCAGGAGCTTGGGCATCATGGAAGTGGTGAGCACCAGGTCAATGGCAGCCAGCATGGAGAGGAAGTAAAACATAGGCAGGTGCAGGTTGGGGTCCATCCTAATCACCAGGAGGACTGTGATGTTCCCCAGCACTGCCATGAAGTACATGGTGCAGAATGGGAAGGCAATCCAGAAGTGAGCCACCTCCAGACCTGGGATGCCTGCCAGGATGAAGGACAGAGGGCTGGAGCGATTCAGGTATGGCATGGTGCACCACTGCAGAAGCTGGAAGCGAAAGCACAAGAACAGCTGGCATAAACAGGAGAGAGGAATGAACTGCAGCAAGGCACTGCCATGGACCAGCCACATGCAGAAAACCCCTGCCTGTTTTCTCAAGCATACAGACCTGCAATCGTATCATCCTGCCCCTTATCCACGTTCACTCAGCCCCATCATCCACAGGATCCAAACACACAAGGTCTTCGCCTGAACATCTGGAAGTTGTCTGGCCTCTCCTCCCATTCTGGGCTGGCCCCTGGCTTTAGTCCCCACCTGTCCAGCCCATAATTTGGGATTTAGAGACAGAGTTTGAGTCCATTTAGTTGCCCCTAAGGGGAAGATCCAGAATATGTTGGGGGTGGCAGCTCAGCAGGACTCTAATCACCCACACATTTCTTTAGTTTGTAAACCACATCCTGTTTTGGGGCTGGCATGCCCCATGTGAGTCCCACCCTGGGAAATTGCAGCAGGTATTTATTTTCACCATCAACATTTGCTCCCCAGAGCAATTTTGCTTTGAGACCTGGTGCCTGTGTAAGGAGCACATTGAATGAGTGCATTCCCCAGCTACACACTCTTCTTCAGGTTGGCACTGTCAGCTGGGGCTGTCTCTGTTGGAGCTGAGTCCAAACAACCTTGATGTAGGCCCTACCTGAATGGAGATCCCACCTGTAGGGTCCATCTCCTGCGTTAGGAAGGAAAACCAATGTCACCCCAGAAAGAAAGAGGGCAATCTGTTGCAAACTGGAATGAGGCTGCAGCCCTGGTCCCTTTCCAGCACTAACCTCCACACAGTGCTTTTTACTCCTTACCCTCAAACCCTTGCTAAAAGAGGGAAGTGCTGTGAATCATCTCTGTTTTACAGGGAAAACAGAGGCATAGAAGGGTTAAATTAGCCAGCTGGCAGTGTGGGAATTAGATGCAAGTCTCTCAGGTACCTATACCTTCTATTTTCCCCAACATAGCAAAAGGCTAGACTTCATCTCCTTGGCTTTCCACGCATTTGACTTCCTAGACCCGCAAAGAGTTTAATCTCTCCTCCAAACTGTTTTAAGTCCTCCACATGACCCAAATCAAGAGGCATTTCAGCATCTGTTGCTAGTGATTGCTATTTGCAAGGTAGGGCCAAATACTGAAAGCCAAAATTATGAGAATGCTGTCAAGATAATGTTGCAGTTCATTGCAGAGGGGGGACTCTGCAACGTAGTAAGCTACCTTGGCTATAAATTCTGGGAGGCAGAACCACAGCTGGTACAAGCCATCCAGCAGGAACTGTGTCTCGTGCCAGAATCATTTATCTGGAAAGGGCAAGCACATTTGAGATCCTGCAATCCTGTGCCGGGAAAAAACACACACTTACTCCCTCCTCTCTATCAGTAATAATTAATCTACAAACTTAGCGTACTGTTCTGGGCACTGTTACTTGTAGCTCATCTCATATAATAAAGATATCAAGGTTATTAAAAACTGCTGTTCAACAGGCATCGGACTCAGTTTTTCCTGGGATGCGATGCCTTAGTTTGCTCTTTTTACGTCTGATTGCAGTCCTGTTCCCTTTGCAGGGATTGTTTTCTTGGATGCACACAAACACATGAAGCACCACGGACGTAAACAGTTGCCTTTAGCTCAGTTGCTCTGACTGACTCCATTTGGATCATGCAAAGAAACCATCCCCACTGCACTTTGGTTTCATCCATTTTACATCTTATTTCCTCTGCATTTCATACTTCCTCCTCTTCCCATGCCTTGCAACCATAGACACCTAACGTAGTGCCCCAGGACCCTGAACACACACGCCAGGACGTGCCTCTAGTGCCATGGCACTGCCCAGAATATTGTACTCAGAGTACTGTTTCTTCATCTCTTCAACTTCAGCTACATAGAAATGCTGTGTCAGGAAGATTGCTGTGATCTTGGCTATTTTTGAGTTACGTATGCAAGATCGATGAGGATGGGAGTAGCATTTTAGACTTGCTGCTGCTCAAGTGGAGCAGCACTCTCAGACCCATTCATATGCTTCTGAGCATTTTCATCACTTCATTGGCACAATGGTTTTATTTTGTGCAATTAAGTAGTTCACTAACTTGTAAAGATAGGAGTTTTGCTCAGCTGTGGTAGTCAACATCCAGCAGATCTTCTAGAAATGGAGCATATTATCAGGCCCCCTTGCTTAACTTGCTGTACCCCATTAGCTTTTGTTGCAAACTTACTGTTGTTTTTTAAAAATTGTGAACCAGGATAAAATACCCTCACAGAATGAGAGGTGCTCGGTAGGGAACACAGTGCAAAAGGAGTTGAAATGTTTGATTGTGAGCATGCTGGGGAACGCTTCCCTGACTTTGTAAGGCACTGGTACTTGAGGTTGAGTTTTTAACTCTTTCCTCATTGTTTTTTGTCAGCTCTGCTCATTTGCTTCTAAGCAATGATCATTAGATTTACCAGATTTCATGCACTTAGAATTATTCACGGTTCTTAGACATGGTAAATCTATCAGCCACACAGCCTGAGCTCATAAAGAACAAACAGACAACACCTTTTGCCATCACATTCGGATCTGCTCCCGCTAAGAGCCACCCGGCGCTCCTGATCAATGTAGTCTGTCATGAATCAGCTAGCACAAATACTCGGATGCTTATCTGCTTTTAGCCAGGAGGGAAGTCAGGGAGTGTGATCCTGCTCACACCAAAATATGTGACAAAGACTTCCCATGAGCTTCTAAGATGCAGCATGGTGCCCAAGGGACATAGCTATGATGCCTAAGTCCTTTTTGCTACGGCCTGTGCACCACACTGACACTGGAATCCTGCGAGAGAGGCCCTGCTCATTTATTTCTGGCTTTAGGAAAGCCAGGGGTGAGAGATCTGTGTATGGTGGTGCCCTCTTACCCCAAAGCTTACTACATTGCTCCCCAAAATCTGCACTAGGGAGACCCATATAGCTGTCACTTGGCCTGCACGGATTTACGCCCAGAAGGCCATACTACCATCTCCAAGAATTCACACAGTGCAAGATTGCTGGTGAGATTTATTCCAATACAGACTTTGGAGACCGGTCACATGAACAATGCACATTAACAAAGATCTATTGAATTGTGAGTTTTAAGAGACCTAGAATAATCATCTAGGCCATATCCCTTCCCGAGTATAAGATCAAAAGATGTCTCTGGTAGATACATGCACAGCCTGCTCTCCCATTGCAGAAACTCTATACTCTTCCCCAAAGCACCTATTCCAAAGTCTTTTCCTAGTGTCAAGACTACATTTCACTCAGAGCTCATAGCTTCTGTCCTTTCTGTAAGGGAGAAGAACAGGTTATTACCTTCCTTGCAGCATTTGCTATCCTCTTCAGGTTTGCACTGCAGAAAAGGGCAGGACTAAAGCTATGATTAGGCAATTACAAATCTTCACAGATGAGTGGATTGCCGGATGTTACACTTAGGTGTCTACAGCTTATCTGAAGTTGATTTAACCAAGGAACAGCTTGCAACCAAACAATTAGCACTGTTGTAATTAACTCATGCAAGGAGGCAAATTGAGGTTGCAGTTGTATAAACTGGCAGTTCTCCACTACAATATCCACTTAAGGTAGGATATCTGGAAGTAATGAAGTAGATCATTAACCTAGTAAGAGACAAAGTCCACTTAGATGTATTGGCAGATCTGCACAGTTACTTTCTGGATAGATCTTTTTATAGTCACCTCAATTTGACCAAGATTTGAACTTGGCTCAAAGCTAGCCGCTACATTTAAAAGTACTGCCATAGCCCCAAGTTAAATGAAAAAAATATCCACCCAGCTCACCTGGATGCTTTGGATGTGACCCTGGCTGTATCTACATCACCTTCATACACTGTTTCTCTCTCACACAACTACACAGCTCCTCAATCTGTGAAAAAGACTTGCATGGAAATATTTATACGTCTTAAGCAACCTGTTCACCCTAATCACTCACAGCTGGGACTTCAGAGTTTATAATCATCATAGAGAAGAAACTGCTGCCTGGCCTAGGGAATAGCCATGTACAGCAATGGTTTGTAAACAAATGCGCTCCTCTTCCCGCTGCTTGGGTTATGCCTGTCTCATCCTATCTCAGCATTAAAAATAGCAGGGTGTCAAACAGGTCTTTGAGAGAGTGGGTCCACAAAGAGGGGAGATTTCTTTTTGCGTGGACAAATTCCCCACCGGGCATGGCTGCCAGTTCTCCTGGTAAGCATGCAGTGGCATACGTGTCCTCTGGAAGGCTTAATCCTGTCTATATAAAGCTCTCACTGAGTTTGAAGCCAGCATCGTTGCACACCTTACGGGGCAAGAAATAGCAGCATAGATTCATAGGACTGCATATAAATCCCATCTTTCATTTGAGGATCTTGAAGCATTCATGAATTTTAGTGAATGCTTTGTAAATTAGTGGTAATTCACTGGACCTAACTTAGTTATTCTCTGTCCTGGAAATCCCTGAGGGTGAAGGTCATCTAGGAACCACAGATGATCATTAGGGAATTTAGGGAAAGGAATGCCAGAGTAGGAGGGCAGGAAGCCGTTCAGCTAAGGCGCACATCTGGGGTGAGACCTATAGATAATTTTTTTCTGGTTCCATCTGGCAGGTACAAATGTGATATAAACAGCAATGACATGTGGGTGTGCTCCCCTTGGCCTATTGGCCCTTCAAAAGAGAGTAACCAAAACTAGTAGAAATCTGCAGAGACTGGAAGATGAGGAGAAGAGGAGAAACCCAGAAGATAAGTTCATGGAGCCTCATGGCATCTGCTGGCATTTTAGCTACAGACAAGCAGACTGCCCTCTTCCCCCCAAATTCTGATGCAAAGTTTAAATCAATGAAATATTTTAAGTTCAGAGCGGTTAAAAGCTTTTTACCCTACTGGGCTGTATTTGTTTTCCTTGCATCCCATCCCTTCCACAGGTGACCCACACGAGGGCAAAGCTCTGGGTATGAAACGCAGAGCAGCTGAGCAAAAAGAGTAAGAAGTAAGGAGCAGCAGATAGAAACCCTCATGCCCTGACCCAGCCTCTTGCAGCATACGCCGCCTCATTGAAGAGCTCAGGAGAAACTGAGCGAAACATATTGCAAAAACATGGGGAGATGAGACTAGCAAGGGTGGAGAGAGAGGTGTTCCACTGAATTTGAACCTGGGGAAGGGGGAGCAAATGTGTTTTGCTGAGTGTTTGTTTGCCTTTTTTTTTTTCTTTGATATGCAAAGAAACACCTATATGGTGTCAAAACCAAGCAGATTCGTGACCGGGTGCTCATTGCGTTTTCTCGCAAGAGGCTCTAAAGTCCAGGTGTCATCTGCTGCCGCTCCACGTTCAGCTGCGGCTTCTTATCAGGCAGACCCCAGAATGATGTGGGCCTCTCATGAAGCTTCTCCAGGCACGTCCCTCCTGAACAGGCCCCATTATCCCTGCTGCACTATGGACGCGCTGTCTATAGATGCAAGGGCAAAGTGCCTACTGCGTCCTGAGTTACTTGCTCCACTCTGGGTTTGGCAGAGTGGGAAGTCTGGCCCATCTTTGGAGGATGCAGCACACGGACCAGATGATCCAGCTGTGCTGTGCTGATCAGCAAAAACTGGACTTGGGCCCAGTCCTCAGAGCTGCCTCAACCATTTCATCACTGACAACTCTGTCAACAAGGCTGTGAGTGTGAATCCTGGAGCAGAGATAAAGAAGATGGAGAGTCTTGTGTTGTTAGAAATGGTTAAGTGAAAATGGTCCTTTCAGCAACCACACAGCTCCTGAAACACTGTTCTGGGACATGCACATCCCAGCCGCACGAGGGGGCCACAAAACCTAAGCTAGGACACAGAACTGTGCAGCAAGTAGACACTCCACTTTAAATGCCTCCTATCTCTTCTCCTGAAACTTTTCAAGTCAATGACCCCATGATTGTGAGATAATAGTACACATGTGCTAAAAATGGTTATGTTTTAAATGATTATTTCCTACAGACAGGAATGAAGCCTACTTGGCAGACTGAAAAGGGTGCTAAATCTGGAGGTCAGCCAATGCAGAGCTGGAAAATTTTCAGAGTATTCAGCTTTGACGTCATTGTGCCAATGGTGAACCGAATGTAAGTAACGTTCCTGCCTGAGCTCCACTGGCTGCATTTCTTCTTTTCTCGTGTGCTGAAGAAATGAGTTGTAAGAGGCTGTGCTGTCTGTTGGTCTGCAGATCCTCACCACAGAGCTATTGACCCTGCTGGACAGTTCAACCAAAGTGGGTGGAGGAAAGAGGGGCCAAGGAAGATCCTGCAGTCTTTGTGGTGACAGCCAGTAGGAAAGAGCAGAGAGGTTCAATGCACTGATCCTCTCTGCGGGGAGAGATGGTGGACCCTGTTCTGACCCTTCTTGTGCCAGCAGCTCTAGGTCTGTTGCTATGGGATCTCTGCAGAGATTGCCTCCTTCCCATTGAGCTGCCCAGTCTTTCCTCTGGCAGGGCTTGAGGCTGACGGGGTCTCACATATGGATGAACTCCTGTTCTGCTCCATGGACCTCACTGCCATTATGGGCAACTGCGGTCTGCTGCATCTCATTCAAGCAGAGGAGACTCTGCACAAGTCCGTGTGCTCTTTCCCCTGCGCACTCTCCAGCACAGACAGTGATGAGCATCTTGGCCTGCCCAAGGCCTTGTGCAGCTTCTGGCTGAGGCTGAAGGAGATTGACTTTGATGCCTGCCTAGTCCAGATGCTCTTCGTCCACACAGTCACTGGGACAGAGTCTGGTGTCCTCATGCTCATGGCCCTGGACCGGTAGGTACCTGGCTGTCTGTTACGCCTGGAGTTGCACCACTGTCCCCACCAGCCCTCTCGTCACTGCTGTCGGCCTTGGCAACTTCCTCAGGGGAGTGGTGCTGGGCTTCCTTTCCCCTTCCGTGCCTGGTGGCTGCTGCACCAATATCATCCCTCACACGCACTGTGACCACATGTCCGTGGTGAAGCTGGTTTATGTCAGCATCCTGGTTAATGCTGTCCTTGGGCTGCTGGTTGTCCTGCTGATAGGGGACTTCAAAATCCTCTGCATCGCTATCTCCTCTGCCCTGATCTTCCAGCCCATGGAGGGCCTTTCCTCCAAGGAGGCAAGCACCAAAGCCTTCGGCACCTGCACAACCCATATCAGTGCCATTGCCATTTCCAACATCCTGCTTTCTTGGGAGTGGAGGGAGGCACAACTTCACCTGCCATGTCCACATCACCAGGGCCAACCTCTACCTGGTCCTTACCCACCATGCTGAACCCCATTGGCTATGGGGTGAAGGTCAAGCAGAGGCGGGAAAGCTTGATGAAGCTGTTTAACTGGGGGATGTCCATTCAGCTCATGACACCTGAATAGTGCTGGAAGCAAAGCAGAAAACATTCTGCACAAGAAGACATTATCCAAAGAGCTACACCCTTCTCCCCACTCCCCTGCTGGGGAGATCATGGTGGTTCTTTGGACCCTCTGTGATTTCTGAGGAAACTCTGCCTCTGTTTGAGCTGATCAACACTCACAGGCCATCTCTGGGCTGCTGTGGACTTTTGAGCTTTTTGTTCCTGAAGAGCTTCTTTGCTACTTCTGCTCAAGCATAGGAAAGGTTATGATCTGAGGTTTGGGGCCACAGGGATTCTCATTCATGCACTTAGTTGCGTATCTTCTGGCTTTTTTAGCTGTCTTTTTGGTGGTGATGCTTCTGATACTATGATTTCTATTGCCTGAGTTATTTATTCATGTGCTAGATCAGTGCTGCAAATAGAGAACCAAAGCCAATGAAACCCATGATATTTCTGTTGAATTAGTGCATCTGCTTCCCTTATTTCTACCAAGACTCAGGAAAAGAAACGTGTTCTGCTACACAGTTTACATACAAACAAATCTGGACTCTTAAAAAGGAGACTGCTGTTCACAGTATCTAACAAATTTATGTGGCACAGGAGCAAAGCCTGGCAGATTTTACTAGTATGTCTGTAGCTGCAGCCTCCCCTTCCCAGCCGCACTGAGAGCCCTCATGCACAAAAATCCCAAACACCCTGCTGAGCTGTGGCTGGAGCCTGGAGCGACGGACTGGAGGGCTGGGTGTAATGGGGAAGAAGAGAAGCCTTGGGCTTAGCGTTTGGCAAAGCTCTCAGTGCTGGCTGAGGCAGGCACTAAGGCCAAACCGCATACGTGCTGGGGAACAACTGGCAGATCTGTGCATGAGGACCACTTGAGGCCAGCCTCTCTTTGTATGACACCAAGTTTCAGGTCCCCAGCTGTAAAAGGGATGTCCCCTCCTAACCGTGGGAAGAGGCACACACAGTGCTGCCTTATTTGCAAATGGCAATAGCAGCCATGCAGAAATACCTACGAAGAATGCAAGACAGGGCCCGGGGCCTGTGTCACGATGCTGAATAACATGGGAGGTCAATGCCGTGAGCAAAGGACAAGCTATGAGAATGCTTAAGGAGGAAGAGGATCATTTCACAGATGTTTTCTGCTTCTCTCTATGCTATCAGAAGATGGTTTTCCTGAATTTCTGAACTTCTCCCCACAAATATCCTGAGTTGATATTTAAAAATACTGTTTTGCTTTTTGCTGAGTGGATTCTGAGCTAACTGGTTCCTAATTCAGGAAACACAGGTCAACATCAGATTTCTGCTGCAAATTTCTGCTTCCACAAATAGGCTTTCCATGAGCATTCAGTGATATTTATCTAGAATTTGTGCACCCTTCTAGAAAAATTCCTTCCAAAATCACTTTCTAAATTGTAATCAGTGAACAACTGCAAAAAAGTAGACACACTGAAAAAAATTAATATTAGATGAAAGTGTTTTGCACCATCTGTCCATCCCTGCGACTACCTGAGATGCACTGCATAGAAACGAGCAAGTCCACAGCTACATGGTAACTCTTGAAGGATTCTGATGGTGTCCATAAAGCTACCCAACTGTCTAACACGTGTGGCCTTTTAATACAATACTAGCATTTCTTCCCAAAGTATATTTGCTCTCCGATTTCCAGTCATAAATTATTGTTATTTGTTTTGCGATAGTGACTTGAGAGCCTGCCAAGGGCTAAGACAACATGATAGGAACACAATCCCTGTCCCCAAAGCTACCAATCCAAGTGAAGAAAAGTCAGTACGTGGGTGAATTTCAATGAGCAATTCTAACATTGCAATTGAAATCTCAATTAAACTCAGGGTCCTCCTAGGCATGTATCTGTTTGGTCCTCACCCCATAGATGATGGGGTTGAGCACAGCAGGCACCAGGATGTAGACGTTCCCCATGGCAACACGAACCAGCGGAGCCAGGCCTCTCCCAAACCTGTGCACCACGGACAGCCCGATCAGGGGCACATAGAAGGCCAGGACCACGCAGATATGGGCAACACAGGTGCTGAACGCCTTGAGCCTCTCCTTCCACGATGCCAGGCGCAAGACGGCCCTGAGGATCAGGACGTAGGAGATGCAGATGAGGAGGCCGTCCAGCCCCATGACCAGCAGGATGGCGGTGAGACCATAGACCAGGCTGGGGGTGGTGTTGGCGCAGGCCAGGTTCATCACGTCCTGGTGCAGGCAGAAGGAGTGTGACAGGACCCGTGAGCTGCAGAAGGGAAGGGGCAGGAGGAGCAAAGGTAGGGGCAGGAAGAAGAGGACTGCCCTGGCCATGGCTGCCAGGCCTATTTTCACCGTCAGGGCATTGGTGAGGATGGCGGCATGTCTCAGCGGGTGGCAGATGGCCACGTACCGGTCCACAGCCATGGCCAGGAGGACGGTGGACTCGATGGCCGACAGGGTGTGGATGAGGAACATCTGGAGGAGGCAGGCGCCAAAGCTGATCTCCCTGGTGTTGAACCAGTAGAAGGAGAGGACGCGTGGCACTGTGGACGTGGACAAGGCCAGGTCAATGGCCGCCAGCATGCAGAGGAAGAAGTACATGGGAGCGTGCAGGCTCGGCTCCGTCTTCACGATGAACAGCACCGCACAGTTGCCTGCGATGGCCACAATGTATATGGAGCACAGGGGGATCGCCATCCAGAAGTGGGCAGCCTCCAGCCCAGGAATGCTGGCCAGAATGAAGGAGGAAGGGCTGAGATCGGAGCTGTTGGGGAAGGGCATGGCACGTGGGGCAACGTGCAGGCACGCTAGTCCATCCCACTTCCTCCATGGCAACAAAATATTATTGTATTTTTATTGAACCAGGAAATTAGGGTGGTTAAAAGCCATGGAGATGAACACCCAAATATTTCATGGGCTTTTAACAAGAGTTTTTATATTATGGGAGAAGTTGAATACTCGAATCAATAATTAAAAGTTTGTTAACTGTCAATAAATTTAATTAAGTGAAATTCCCTGAGTTGGGACTGTTTTGTCTGTGACAGAAGCTCTTCACTTCCTTGGTCTCCTTCTTTGTCCACCCTACTTTTATGTGCTGCTCCTGGTAGGCCTCCACACGGGCCTGCTATGCTTTCAGCATCATACTTCCACCAGCTAAGCTCTCTACGTTCATGTTTCTCAACACACGGTTCACTGGTGAGTTTGGACATCCAGCCCCTTTTTACCTGCTTCTGTTCTGGCACAAGGGGCTTGCCTGGATTTGTGATCTCTGTGACCCTTCCAGGAGCACAGAACAGTGATGTTGGGGGTGATGGGATCCATCTCTCTGTTCTGCCCTACCTGGTCTCACAAATGGTGCATGGGGCCATGCCTCATGGCCTGCGCAGCTGAGCAGCAGCTTCTCTCCTACTCCAAAGTCTGATCTGATCAACAGGCTAGCTGCACTGGGGACACCTCACCGCAAGGGGCTAGAGGCCAGACCACAGGGCCCTGTGGTTGGGGAGCACGTGGAGGGGGGCAACACGCATTCAAAGGAACCTCTTCAGAAAACCCTTCCAGCTGCACTCTCACACCAGGACTCCCCCCAGCACGTGGTCCTGTAAGCCAGAGGTGGGCCTGCCAGGCAGCCTGGTGCTCCGTAGGTGATCCCATCATATAGTGCAATGGATAGGCTCCCATTCATTGCAAGCTAAGGTACCTGATTTGAACCACCTGATCTGAAAGGTGATTTCATTTCCCCTGTGAGGCTTCTCGTCGTGTTCACAGTACAATCAGGAATGAGGAGACTTGGATGGGGGGGAGGCTCACTGTGGCCAATGCAGAGAAGAAACAGCAAAGCATCTTGGCCACTGCACACCACTTTGCAATTACTGTAGCCTTTCCCATAGCCGGTGTCTCTGCACCTCGGTTGCAGTGCTGTGACTGTACAGCACTTAGCGAGGCAGAAGGTGGCCCACCCAGCCAGGATGAGACCTCTCGTAGAGCTAGAGAAGAAATTCTGAGGAGTACCGGGCACCGGGGATGGTTGGATGGGCCTCCCAGAGTTGGTGGCAGTAATGAATTGCTTGGGTTTTGTAAAAGGAGACGGGAAAAGTCATCTGCATTAGGGATCAGTCATTCATTGGTGAAGGGAAACAGCTCAGAGGGAACGTAAATCACCGTCCTACCTCCATGTTCTGCCACAAGGGACCGTTAGTATTTTTCTCCAGCTCCGAAAGGCAAGAGTTAATGCTGGTCTTCTGCAGCTGAACATGGGAGGGTGACAATTACATGGCGATTCCCTGCCAGTTTGTGAAATCTTTCCCCTGGAGACAACTGAGCTATAAACTCTGCAGCTGCAGGTCAGCCTTTGGAGTCTGCTCAGCAGGCTGGAGGGACTGAGGTCTGCCACATACTCACAGCTTGTTCGGAAATCTGGTGAGTCCTCTCCGGGAACCAGTTGGCATGAGCATTGCTGCGCTGTTTGGGGCAGGGAACAGAGCGAACGAGAGCAGAGGAAAGAGAGAGTATGAACCAAGTCCTGATCCGCAGTGTGATGAAAAAACCAAGCTTGAATTCCTCTGATATATGGTTTTATTTGTAGTTTAATCTGGGAACGCGTGTTGGGTTCTTGCATGTCAATCTCAAGGGTCTGTAGAGTATATGCAGACTGACATAAAAGGATCTGCACTTAGACAGCTAAAGAAGTGGCCCGATTTTTGCCAGGATCTTGTTAGTTCTCCTTCTTCCCCCAGAAGCTTCTAAGCTCAAGGTAGGAGAAAAGCACCAACCTTCAGCCTTTCCTGCTGGTTGCTGGCTGTGGGTAGGAGCTCGCAGGCAGCTTATCTTTCTAGGACATAAGAAAACTCGTGCTGAGTCAAACCAGAAGCCCAGCTACGCTGGTAACCGGTCTCCAGCTGCGGCTGCACCTCTATATGCAGCTGGCAGAATGCCCCCAAGGTGTGCTGCAGGGGTCCTGGAAGACCAGTGTCAGAGACATGCTGGGATGAGGCTGTCAGGGCTGCGTGGTCCTCATGCTGCTTGGACCCCACCTGCTGCATCCTTCCCTATTTGCTCCAGGAAATGAGAGGCATTTTGAACCCATGTTCCTTTCCTGCCCTGGGAAGTCGCCTGGCTCCAGAGAGCTCCTTTTCAGGCCACTGCTGCCGGCACCCTCCCGTCTCCACCACCAACGGAGTGACATTGCCTGGAAGCTCCCCCAAGGAGGGGTGGCCATGGGTGTAGTCACAGGATGCTCCATGAGGTCCCCTGACTCATGCCCCTTCTGCAGCAAGGGGAGATGTCAGTGCCTGGGTGCATTCAGCGCACCGGCATGCTGACCCTCTCCCAGTTTCTCCAGAGCTTCCTTTTGTGCTTCTGGCTGCACCCTCCCTCTTCCCTCTTCACACCTGTTCTCCACCACCTGAGGTCCCCCCAGCTGCAGGACTCCCTTGCCTTTCTGTCCATGGAGGGAGCTGGATGGTGGATCCAATGCCTGTGGGGCCTGCTGCTGCCCCTCATCCTCCCAGGTCTATAGTGGAGCATCCTGGGGCAGCATCAAGGCTCTCAGACCCCTTCAGGAGCAGCAGGAACTGTTGGTGTGCCCTACTTGGTGATCCCTTCTATTTCTCTTATTTTACATTTGGACCCTCACAAGCAACCCTCACACCTATCCTTAGGGAAGAAGTCCTTAGGAAGCCCTGGTAACACTGGTGGCCTGAAGAAGATCCAGCCCTTTCCTCCAACTCCTTGCAGAGACACCAGGAAGGCACATCATGGCTCCCCCTCTGCACCAGGGGAAAATCTTGGGCAGCACACGCAAAGTTACAGGCTCAGCTGATACTCAAAACACTGTGGCTCGATGAGGCTCAGAAATGAAACCTCCAGGTGGAGCTCATTAAAAATAAACAGAGCTGCAGCCAGAAATGGGCTGCCTAGTTTATTGCTTCGCACACATGCTCAGTTGCCACAGCAGTGGGCATGGGCATGAGCTCTAAGCCAGTTCAAAGCTCTGGGCTTCAAAGCGGTAACAGTTACAACTGTCAGGTCTCCTGAGGGGAAGGACACGGGATGCCGAGCAGGCTGTGAGAGCCAAACGCAGAGAGGTGGACATCAATCCACAAGAACACATGCACAGCCTTTAAGGACAGAAGGCACTTTTCTCATCGTATCGTCTCACTTTCTGCCTTAGCCATGCTAGAGAATCCAGTCAGTGACTCCTGGGGCAGCCTCAGAAACACGGGGTTGAACAAGTGCATCTTTTCTAGAACCATGTCCACCTTCTAATTAGAGAAGTGGAACTAAAGGAACATTTCTGGCACCTCTGGGAAATTCCCTTCTGATGGTACGTTGCATCTTAGTTCCAGCTGTATAGCCCAGTTGTGTCTGATGTTTGGAGAGTTCACATCACTGCTGTTAGAACATATCATATTTTCTCTTCTAAATTAGAAAGCACTGCGGAAATTCACACCTCAACAATGGTGGTCACACTTCATATTTTATAGCACTTCCCCTTGTTTTTGATATACTCCACAGACTGTCCTTATCATGATTTAATAAGAAGCAGTGCAACAACTCGACTTCACACATTCGAAGGGATTTGCAGTGAAAGTGGCACAGCCTATGTATGTTCTGCAAAGTCTAATGAATCTTTCTATTAGGTTTCATTGAAAAGAAAGACTTTAAGGTGAAGCTTGCAAAGGATGCCTCTCCACGGCAACTTCCCTGCTTCCAGCAACACCACCCCACCTGTGTTTTTCCTGACTGGCATCCCTGGGCTGGAAGCTATGCACCACTGGATTTCCATCTCGTTCAGCACAGTGTTTGCCGTAGCCCTTCTTGGGAACAGCATCCTCTTGTATGCGATAAAGACAGAGCCCTCTCTCCACAAGCCCATGTTTTATTTCCTTTCCATGCTGGCTGTCACTGACTTGGTGCTGTCCCTGACCACCATGCCCAAGATGCTGAGCATCTTCTGGTTCAATGCCCAGGAGATCACCTTCCGTGCCTGTCTTGTGCAGATGTTTTTCCTTCACTCTTTCTCCATCATGGAGTCGGCAGTGCTGCTGGCCATGGCTTTTGACAGGTACATTGCTGTGTGTAACCCCCTACGATACAGCTCCATCCTGACCAACTCCCTGACGGTCAAGATTGGGCTGTTGGGTCTGGCCAGGGCATCCGGACTCATGTTGCCCCTGCCCCTCCTCCTCCACCCCCTTCCGTACTGCCGCTCCCACATCATCTCCCATTGCTACTGTGAACATATGGCAGTGGTGAAGCTGGCCTGTGCTGACACCAGGTTCAGTAACATCTATGGCATCTTTGTGGCTCTCTTTATCGTAGGGTTGGATTTACTGTCCATTGGGCACTCCTACCTCATGATCCTGAGAACTGTGCCGAGCCTGGCGTCCAGGGAGGAGAGACTGAAGGCACTCGGCACCTGCTTCTCCCACATCTGCGCCATCCTGGTCTTTTACACCCCTGTGGTTCTCTCATCAATAATACACAGGTTCAGTCACCACGTTGCCCCTCACATACACATCCTGATGGCCAATTTGTACGTTCTCTTACCTCCCATGATGAATCCTATAGTGTATGGTGTCAAAACCAAGCAGATTCGTGACCGGGTGCTCATTGCGTTTTCTCGCAAGAGGCTCTAAAGTCCAGGTGTCATCTGCTGCCGCTCCACGTTCAGCTGCGGCTTCTTATCAGGCAGACCCCAGAATGATGTGGGCCTCTCATGAAGCTTCTCCAGGCACGTCCCTCCTGAACAGGCCCCATTATCCCTGCTGCACTATGGACGCGCTGTCTATAGATGCAAGGGCAAAGTGCCTACTGCGTCCTGAGTTACTTGCTCCACTCTGGGTTTGGCAGAGTGGGAAGTCTGGCCCATCTTTGGAGGATGCAGCACATGGACCAGATGATCCAGCTGTGCTGTGCTGATCAGCACACCTAGACCTAAATATTTCATGGGATTTTAACAGGAGTTTTTATATTATAGGAGAAGTCTACCTGGGGGCATGACCTACAGATTATGTGAATTGATAAGTTCCTAAAGCAAGAGGTTGTCATCAAAATCATCACATTTGGCCATATTTCTATTTCTGCATAAAATTTCATTGAGATTTGCTGTTTGCTTTTTATTGAAAAATTTCATGCCCTTCCCAATTTAGTAGTTAGCTCTTGATTCTGTCTGTTGAGATGTATGATCTGAGCAGGATTGTAGGCAAGATACTGTAGTGCTTTAAGAGCCTGTTTCTGACAGTGATGTGGGTTAGATTTTCGAGAGAATTTGGGAAGCTAGATTTGCCTGCACCTAGTGGGTGATTCAATGACACCAGGATCAACTTGACCCCTAATTCATGCTAATCTCCTGCTGCAGTGCTGCTTTTGGATCCACTCTCCTGCCACCAGAAAACCACATTTACACAGAATCACAGAATGTTGAAGGTTGGAAGGGACCTTTGGAGATCATCTAGTACAATCCCCCTGCTCCACCAGGATCCTCTAGACCACATTGCCCAGGATCACGTCCAGACGGGTTTTGAATATCTCCAGCAAAGGAGACTCCACAACCACTCTGGGCAACCTGTGCCAGTACTCAGTCACCCTCACAGCAAAAACATTTTTCCTCAGGTTCAGATGGACCTTCCTGTGTTTTAGTTTGTGCCCGTTGCCTCTTGTCCTGGGCACCACGGAGAAGAGTCTGGCCCCAGCCTCTCGACACCCCCCCTTCAGATACTTGTACACATTGATCACATCCCCCCTCAGCCTTCTCTTCTCCAGGCTAAACAGGCCCAGCTCCCTCAGCCTTTCCTCAGAGGAGAGATGCTCCAGTCCCCTCATCCTCTTTGTAGCCCTCCGCTGGACTCTCTCCAGTAGCGCCATGTCTCTCTTGTACTGGGGAGCCCAGAACTGGACACAGTACTCCAGGGGAGGCCTCCCCAGGGCTGAGGACAGGGGCAGGATCACCTCCCTCCACCTGCTGGCAACACTCTGCCTAATGCACCCCAGGAGACCATTAGCCTTCTTGGCCACAAGGGCACATTGCTGGCTCATGCTTCACTTGTTGTTCACCAGGTCCTTCTTTGCAGAGCTGCTTTCCAGTAGGTCTGTTGCCAGGCTGTCCTGGTGCAGGGGATTATTCCTGCCTAGATGCAGGACCCTGCACTTGCCTTTGTTGAACTTCAGGAGGTTTCTCTCTGCCCACCTCTCCAGCCTGTCCAGGTACTTCTAAATGGCAGCACAGCCTTCTGGTGTGTCAGCCACTCCCCCCAGTTTGGGATCATCAGCAAACTTGCTGAGGAAGCACTCTATCCCTTCAACCAAGTCATTAATGAATAAGTTAAACAATCCTGGACCCAGGACTGACCCCTGGGGGACACTGCTAGCTACAGGCCTCCAGCTAGATGCTGTACCACAGGTCATAACTCTCTGAGAGGTAGTGGAGCCTCCTTCGCTGGAGATATTCAAAACCCGTCTGGATGTGATCCTGAGAAATATGCTCTAGAGGACCCTGCTTGAGCAGGGGGCTTGGACTAGATGATCTCCAGAGGTCCCTTCCAACCTAAACCATTCTGTGATTCTGTGATTCTGTGAGCTCTGCTGTACAGTCCGTTCTCAATCTATCTCACTGCTTGCTCAGCTAAGCCATACTTCCTCAGCTTGCCTATGAGAATGTTGTAGAAGACAGTGTCAAAAGCCTTGCTGAAGTCGAAGGAGACAACATCCACTCCTCTCCCCTCCTCTACCCAGCCAGTCATTCCAGCAGAGAAGACTATCAGATTGGGCAAGCATGATTTCCCTTTGGTGAATCCATGTTGACTACTCTTGATCACCTTCTTGTCCTCCACAAGCTTAGAGATGACCTTCAGGAGGAGCTGTTCCATCACCTTTCCAGGGATGGAGGTGAGGCTGACAGGCCTGTAGTTTCCTGGCTCCCCCTTCTTGCCCTTTTGGAAGACTGGAGTGACACTGGCTTCAAGGCATGGCAGATGAAGCCTGGTAATAGGCACCATAAATTTTATCCAAAAACCCTTATCACCTGTTTAATTTTCCTGATTTTTCTTTTATTTGGCCATCTCGGGATCACTTCAGCTTTAGAAGGGCTGAAGTGTTCTGGTTCACTATGTCCTGCATCTGCAGTACATGAATCACACTTGAAAGAAATCTTCATTCAAAAAATAGGACAGCCTGCTGGCTAGGCTACGATATGAGACATCATAACTCAGTATTAAGTGAGATAAAGCTGTGCAGAAAATGAGCCTGAACAGCACATAGAACATCTAGTGCTTTGGTGTTTTTTTCCAGTCCAAAATTTTGGCTCTGGCCAACCAGCATAGAGACAGTTTCCCGACAACTGCTTACATTAAGATACCAATAAAACCAACAAACCTGTAACCCATTTAGGGACCTTCTGAATGGCAGATGGTATCCAGGCCATCTTATTTAATAGCCACCGACAGCTCCACTCATAGTAAGCTTTTCTAATGCTTTTTTTTTTTTTAACCTGTTTATGCTCCTGGCACTTGCAGCATTCAGCAGCAATGAGTTCCACAGTTTCTTGTGAATTTATTTCTCTCCTGAGCTATTCCTTTTCCAAGACAGTGAATTCTCATCTATTCACTCTGTGTATGGAAAATGTTCCATGACTCGGATCATTTTCTATCTTTCTTATTTCTACTACATCTCTTTTTGAGCTGAGATAAACAAAAACGCATATAGCATTTCAAATGCCAGATTCATACGTTGGCAAAATGATTTTGCTCTTTCCTCCTTTCTTAACAGTTCCTCCTGTTGTGTGCCATTGTGCGTTCTGGGCTGACCTTTCCAGGGACTGATCTACAATGCCCCAAGGGTTTCTTCCCTAAGCGGCAATGAGCAGTGCACAGGCTGTCCAAGAAGCTCCATCTCCATCCTAGAAGAATTCTCTGGTGCCACCAACATTTCCAGTCAGAGGTTTTCAAGAGGGGAATTGTGGGGAGCGAGGCCTGCAGAGGGCAAGTGTGTGGTCATCACCCTGGAGAAGGTGCCATTGCGGGGCTTGGATGGGCTCGCACTGAAGTCAGGGCATGGAGTTGGAGCCTCACTGCACTGGAGGAGCAACGCAGATGTGGGGGACAGACTCTGCTCCAGCATGCACTGGCATCCACTGCCAATGGAGGCATGCCTGCTTTTGAGCACTCACAGGGTTAAAATGCAGAAGTGTTTGGTGGCAGACACTTTTCCCCACTGGCTGGGGACCCCAGGAGAGTGTTGCCAAGATCCTACATAGGCACAGAGGTGGGTGGAGTGAGTCTGGGAGGCACCTGAGCTGGGCATGGAAACCCAGCAGGCAGAGAGGCTCAGGTCTGAGCCTTCCTCACGCATGGCTGTGGTGAGTGTGCATCTTGATTGGGGATGGGGAGGACTGGACCATGACCTCATGCCCACTGGTTTCCATGGAGGCAAGATGCCAGGGTCTCTCACGGCTGTGGAGAGCTGTGTCACTACAGACCCAGGGAGCCAGATCTGCCATAGGGGGCTAACCTAGACATGGTCAGCTCCTGTTTGGGCTCATTGGTGAGAGCAGTGGCTCCGGGCTGCTTTCAGTCAAGTTTAGTTTGGTTCTGCTTTAGGATGAAACACAAATCTGCCTCACCTCAAGTGTCTCTCCCTCTCCATGGACTGAGACTCCCTTCCCCCTTTCTGTCACCCCTCCCCTGGCTGGTGATGCCCAGCAATGTGTTTGCAGGGTCTCCCATCTGCCCTCAGGAGCCACCGCTTCTGAGGACACAGGGAAGAGCTTCCCAGATAGGTCTCATCATTCTTTTTCTCAGACAGGCTTCTCTGCCTTGGGCTGCCTGAAAGCCTCTTCCTTGCAGCAATGCTTTGCAGGACTGCAGGACTGCAGGACTGCTCTCTCCTCCTCCTCTTCCCATGCTGCCAGCCTTTGGGATGGTCTCAGCTGGGAGCACATCCTGATATTAAACAGTGGCTCAGTTTCCCATCTCAGTATCTGGACAGGTCTGGAGCAATGCTATTGCCTTGACCGGTTTGCCTCCAGATTTGACTGTGAAATTGAGGAGTATAAGAAGAGAGTCTTGCCATGTATCTGCACTCTGAAGCCTACTTCCCAACTTACATTTCTCTGCCTCTCTTCTTTGCCTCCTCAAACAGGAGATCTGGGAAAGGAAGGTCCCTCAGGATGAGTTTGAGTGTATTGTGGTGGAGGGGGAATCAAGAGGAGAAAATAGTGGTGGTAAAAGCTGAAGGCAAGTAGATGAAGATGAGGGGTAAAGGAGATGAGTTTCCTGCTCTTGTCTATTTAACGATCCCCCTCTCTCATAAAGTGCGTCCATGGGCTGACCATGAAGGGGTTATGAGTTACGATCAGAAGGCCCGACACTTGACTTGTTTGTCTAGGCTAAATCTGGTGTTAGTTTAGTGATAAGGTGCTGGTATGGATTTGAGCTCCCAGTACTCATGCTTGCTACTCCATCTCCAGAAGGCCCTACATGATCTTTGAATACAGGTTAGTTGCAGCCAGACTCGATCAATGCTGTCACGTTTCCATCCTCAGCGGAGTCTCTGGGAACCCAGGCACCAAGGTACCTGGGCAGGGCAGGCAACGCAGCAGGCAGTTCTTCCCCAAAGACAATACTGAAAAAAAAGTCCCTCT